GTAGTATGAAAACGCTTGATAGTATTAGATAACGTCAGATTTCGCTGTTCTGACACCCCTAAAAACGCGTCAATTCAGAACTTATGGCCGAGGAAAAACTGTGTTCGGAATAATTTTTCCATGGGCCAACAGTGGACTTTTCATACCTTTAGTAGGACTATCGATTGCATATAATCAGACCTTCCCGGCTTCAAGTCGTGTATAAAGTGGGCGGACCTGTGCGGAAGTACCCCTTTTTTCGATGGTTTTTGTAATTGTTTTACAACAAATGATGCGTATGGTAGAGTGAGTACTTCTTTTTCATTTGGATACTCGGATAGGTCTTCAATGGCAAGTGCTGTTGTTGAATATTTTCTAACATATTTGCAGAGAACGGAATGTTTTATTAATTCATTAAGAGCATCTTGGGTTTAAATCAGGGTTGTCTTGGGTTTAAATCATTCATAAATTTTTCAGCATTCGAACGTTCTTTTGATGTACTGAAAAATGTTTTATTCATAAATTCTGAACCGACAATATATGGTTTCAAACCACTATCGGATATTTTAACCCCATGATAAGTTCCACCTGTAAATCGATAGGGTTCAAATGCTGGATGAAATGTAAAAATTGATGCAACATGTCGCTCATGTTTATCACCACTCCAATATTTCTCCATCATAGCCAAATCAGTATTAAGACGAACATAAAAATCAGTTTCAGCTGTGTAAGCTTTAACAACATCTCGTGGGTCGTTCTCTTTTATGGCTTGTTCAAAAAGCCACTGAATATGACTTATTTTATGAGCATCAGCTAGTTTCCCGTCGATATAACTTTTTTGTATACCGGTTGCTAGTCGATTAAAATCAGCATCCGATTTATATTCACGTTCACGTTGATGATTATTATATAAAATAATTTTAGATCTCGTTGCTGACGTTCTCGTCATTTCAGAATATTGATATTTTCTTCTTAAACATTTTTCTGCTAATAAACAAAATTTGTCAAAATCTTCCAGATTTTTAATTAGTTTGACATCTATTACAAATCTGGCGTCATTTGTTTATTCTGATGATGACAAGTGAACATCGTCGAAATATCAATAATAAATCAAAATCATAGCACTGTGATTTGTATTAATCATACTTGTAGCAGTTCTGTATTTCTTACTACGTTTTTTCAATATTATCAATTACATGATTTTCGAATATTTGATAATTTTAAGACTTGGTATAAATCGGCACAGACGATTTCAATTCAAAAACAATTTTGTTCATGTTAAAGAATACGTGTGCAAGCATTTAGTTGGATTAAAAACTATTTTTGGTTTATATTTGTTACTAAAAACTCCTTTGTAAAACAAAACCACAAAAAGATCTAAAACATCTAAGTTTAGCTTTGTTGTTTTAATCTATAAATAAAAATAAAAAAAGAAATCAGAAAAATGATGGACAGATTAATTGAATAACGAATCCTTGATTAATAAATATTTAATAATTGTACAAGATAATAGACATAAGAGAATGTTGATAAGATTCTACATCCTGTCTAGAAATAAACAATAATCCTTGAAATGTGGAAGATAAAAGATAGCTCAAAGTCTATTGTTTATTATGTTGAATGATCGACTTATGTCGCGAGTTCGTCGGATTCGATGCGTATCTCCGATTTTGAATTCTCCGTTTCATCATTTTGATCAACAAGAACCAAATGCATTGATATACAGGAAAATTTTGCACCCAAGTATCTGGCCAAATATTGCATACCTTTTCCTCGGATTGAGACTGTTGCATATTTTGGAAATGCATTGTATTTTCGATAATAATAACAGACTCTTGTCCAATGTATACCGGCTGGCCAAGAATTTTTATATCTCCACTCATGCTTTAATTCATTATTTCTATCATAAAACCTTATCCTGACCATGCATTTACTAGCACAGTCTCGTCGTGGAGCAAAACAAAAAGAAAATTCTATTGTCGGTTTGATGTTATTGTATAAATACTGATGTTCACGAAATAAAATTTTTTGACTAAGCTGACCCCAGTAATAAGAAGTGATGAAACACGAACATAATCGATGATATTTGTCATATAAACGTTGACAACCACCGGGTTCGCGTTCAACTTTGACTGGCAATGAATTACGCTGCATCCGCTCATAATCAAAGTCATCGTCATTATCCGACTCCCAACTGTCATCGTTGTTCTCCTCATGAGACTCTGATGTCAGTGAAGTAGGTTCATTGTTCTCACTTGCTGTTTCAGGCGAACATGGCTCCGGTTCATCAATATTTTGATCCCAAAAAGCAATAGTGCCTAATTCACCACAAGAATTTTTAATACAGTTGAATCCACGATGAAACGGATTAAATCGATATAATTTGTCAAAACGAACATCATTTTTTATCAAAATATCTTGCTCTTGATGTGAAGTTATCACATGATCATCGATACATTTATGAAGCCAAAATGAATTTGAATTTATTATGGAATTAAATCGTTTACATACTAACATCACATTGAACAGGCTGGCATACGTTTTCAAAAGATACGGTCTCTGTATGTCATAATCAAAATAGTATGTAGTCGTCTGATCATCATACTGACATTTGACATGATTAGTCGACGTTAATTCAGGTTCATAGCTAATTCTTCTGAGAATATTTTCGATCAGCTCATCAGGTAGATTCACAAATGGATTAGGGACATCCATTCCTCGTTGTTATTTATTAATCTGAAGCAAATGCTTTCTTACAGTTATAGTAGAAAATAAAGATATACAAAGAACAACTCTTATCGTCAGTGAACGCTGAGTGGTTTTATAATTTTTTGCTTATTCTGTGCATTTTTTCATTTCTTTGTCGTTTCTTATGAGGAAACCTATGGACATGTACCCCTCTGCTTTCATTCATTCATACGTCGAACGATAGAGGATATCAAGGTTGTAAAAAGGTTCTGTTTTTCCCAGCCAAAAATAGAAAAATTCATATGTCCGTCCAGAAGGAAGAAAGAAAACCCCCATCTTGCGGCTACCTTGCGGTATAGGGTGCTGCCGAAGCAGTTTCGAGAACGTATTGTCGTTCGTACATAATATTTGGCACACAGGCGTAAACATTTTTTACATCATATTTTCCTATCTTTTACTTTTTTTGTATGATCTTTTCAACAAAACGATGGCTTTTGCGCGCTCTCTTTGTTTATATATGTTTGTTTTCCTTCGGTTTTTCAGGAGGATTGTTACTGATTCAGTAGAATTGATTTCGTGAAATAAACGAAATTCTCTTTGTGGAATGTTTTATGAAAGTTATGGCGATTTTGTTGCTTTTTATCATATTATTTTGTGATTTTCTTTACTTTGATTTTGTTTGTGAAATGGAACAGATAAGAAAATAAAAACAGAACTATACTGCCAAAAACGACATATACAAATAAAGCATGACGACATATACAATCAAGAACAGGAAATAGATGAGCGAGACGAGCCGGATCAATACGGCCTGGCAAAACTCTCAGAAGATCCTGTCACTTCCTACAGGATCCTATCAAATCCTATGTGGGATCATATAGGATCTTGTGGGATCTTATTAAATCCTGCAAAATCTTATCACAGGAAACGACAGGAACTTTCAGGATCCTATTGTAGGATTCCTACGGGTTTTCCTATATCCAGATTACATATGTGTTTCCTATAGGATCCTACTAGGAGTGCGTAGGATCCTGTAAGATCCTACAAGATCCTATGTCAGGATACGACAGGATCTAATGTTGTCTGATAGGATCCTATTATAGAATTCTTTGACCCGGGTATAGATGATAGTCTACTGCCGTACACAGACACGCATGAGAACGAACCTTTTTCGTTCTGTTTCTTTTTTGTTCTGTCAGAAATGAAAGGCACATGTGAGGCATGCGCAGAATCGAAAAGCAAAGAAGATATCTCTTATTTCATACGGCTCTATTTTGTTATGTTTTGTCATCACTTGTGAAAAGAAAGCAAAAGTTTTTATAACAGAAAGAAAGAAAAACATATAGATATAAAGCCACCGCCAGTCATTTCTCTTGTTCTATTTCCTGCAAGGTTCGTGTTTTTTGCTGTTTCAGACAAGAATCTTAAAGTTTATCCTGATAAATTAGTCAGCACTCTTTTCTCAGGTTTTTTGTTGATTTTTCTATTTTTTTATAAAAGATCCTTGTCTAAAATGATAGGACTGATCAACTATATAATCAACGCTTTGTTTTGTAGATGTCTGTACTAAATCTAAGGTAGGTTATCAATCAAAAATTTTTCAAGGTATGTTAAGTGGCTAACTGCCTCAAACTTTGACTGAAGGATGAACGCTACTGTGCCGATCATTATAAGATTATAATGATACACAATATAGAAGAATTGTTTTACAGTTATGCTACAATTATTAATTGAAAATTAATTAAAAATACATGGGGTGTTCATAACATTCTTTATATATTTAAAGCTTTTCACAAAACTGAATGAAGCAGACTCCTGAAATAAATTCTTGTATCGATCCCGTATAATTTTCGAGTTGTTTTGCACAGTTAGCAATACTGAATAATGTTTAGATAACTGTGCCCTATCGCTTTTGTAATGTTTATGCTCGTGTCCAAAACACAAAGCTAAAACGAGTTTAGACAGAAAACTTAGCATTTTTTAACATTATTTTACTTTTTCGAAGTTTGATGATCGTGTTTGATCGGTTTTTGCTGACAATACATGGTCAGTTTTTTACGAAACTTCTTAAAAGAGATACAAAGTTGTCCTAATTGACTTTGCAAGATCAAACAACATCAACGGGGAACATACAAAACTGAGTGTGGATTTGTAAAAAAGAGTATCTCTTTTGAGACGTATGCTGTAATCTTGAATTAATTTCCAGTTTATAGAAAATCGACCGAAAAATCGCCGGGGATTTTCTAGTTTATAGAAATTCCTCGACGAATTTCCCGCTTACTAAGAAATGTTGATTTTCTGGTTTAGAGAAAATCGATCGAATTTCCATAAATAATTTCCAAGAATCTGGAAATTCGATTTTGATTTTCTATAGACTAGAAAATCCTCGGCGATTTTGTATAAAATGAAAATTCGCTCAGGAATTTCTAGATCAAATACTTATTCGTCTTTTTGTTTTGCAATCAGTGTAGGTATAAGAGGTTACATAAAGACACTCAAATTACACTTAAATCAACTTTGACAGTTTCTACTTTAGATCACAATTCTGCCTATGCCAGCAAGAATTTTGATTTAGGCAGAGACAGAGGTGGCGCGAAGTTTTGGTAGGAAGTAGAAAATGGGAATGAAATTAATTT